TTGAACCTTAAGGCTCGTTCATGTTTCCTCGTCCAATCTCTTTGTCATTCCTATACAATCCTTAACACATTCACGCGATCTGTTGATCTTCGTCCGGTTCGTCACATTATTTTTGTGGATGTCTAAGGTTGATGACTTGTTTGATATCCCATTCTTTGTATCCATTTTCCTGTAAAACTAAAGGAGAATATTTCAGTTTAGAATTTAAATCCCTCTGTTCTGATGTGGCTCTATATCTGTCTACTAATGTTTTGATAATAGGCCTTTTTTGTCCCCGATGATAGTTCAAGCTCGCTTGTAGGTATCTACCAGTATAGGTAGGTTTCCTGTAGACACTATGGCTTCTACTGATTTCTAGTTACCAAGTCTTCCAGGAAAGTCAATTGCCTCCCATTTCTTGCTCCATGGAATTGAGTGTTTGAATGCTCTTATCATGTGGTCAAATAATGAACGTATCATCCAATGTTTGAGTCCAGACATTTCCAGTACTGCCCTTTCAAAGTATTCTAAGAAAAAGTTTGACATTATCGGACTCGGGGATCACCCCATCGGTTTGTTCATTGTAATCTCCTTTCCATAAGAAATATGAGAACAACAGAAGACAAGGCCGAAATGGGGCCAATTCCTGAGGTAGTCATAATGTGTTTTCTTACTGGTGCCTTGGTGAAAAAGAACTCTATATCAGAGCCTGTAGAAGAGGCAGACCAGGTATATAGACCACGTAATAATAATAGTATGTTTATTATTTCCCTATACGAGTAATTTCAACGCGGTGTCTTAAATCGGTCTCTCGGTTTAAAAAATTTTTACTCACGGACCATAGACCCCGAAAGGGGTTATGCATTCTGATATTTAAATTTGTCCCTTCTTGGATTCCGTATTAATGGCGCACCTGTGCTGCATAACTCTGCAACTTGGGAGTCGATACATGCATCGTTGCATTTGTGTCAGTGTGTATGGGTTACTTAACTTTCTCAATAAAGGCGAAATTCGAACAACCTTTTAATGATACGCGTGACGAAAACACAGATAAGATACGGATAAATGTATCTATCAAACAATGTTTTTTAAGACACTCTCTTAAATTGTTAATTTATGGGTTGATTATTTATTTAGGCATATTGTTATCAATAAAATAGTTAAAACGCGCTCGTGCTAAAATATTAAGTGTCACTATATGAAACGTATTATGGACAAATAAAAAAATTACACCAAAAAAAGAAATAGTTATAAAAGGCTAACAAACGTAACTAAAAAAAATAATCTGCTTTCAATGTCAACAGTTCGCAAATAATGTTCAACGTGGTGGTTTGTTTATTTTGATTGTTTATCTTCTATCGTAGTCAGATTTCATATGATGTTATATTGTTACTAATTATTTCATCCTTCAATATAAACTGCCAACAAGGCTTCATGCACGTCCGCACAATTTAACACATTATATCTTCCTTAATTAAGTAAATATAATAATATGTATATACAAGATGTCTGGCAGGGGATAATCTAAGGAATTTTAAGAACTACCCAAAATCAATCATCCTATGCTAGCTCAAAGAAAGCGCCCGAAAAATTCGATTTGTGCAAATAACAGACACTTTTTTATACAAACAAATAAGAAAGGAGGTCTACTTCTAATAATCAAATTTTGCAAGTGCCCTTTTTAACGTTTAGAACTAACTTTTTTTTTAAGAACTGTCCTTTCAGTTAGAACTAATCCTGATGTCTGGTCTGCGAAAGGTTGGAAAATCTCGAAGCTGGAGCAAATAAAATTTTTACTCGAAAAAAGTCATATCCGCGAAATTATTGTAAAATTGTCTAAAGGAACATAATACAAGACATCTCTCATCTTGTGAGTCAAAAAATTTTATTAGCTAACTTTTCTATTGAAATAAATAAGTGAGGCAAACAGTTTTTTCACTTTGCAGAGAAACCCATCAATTTTAGCGAAAATTATCTACAAAATGAGACTTGTTAAATTAAAATCGGTTAATAAACAAGAAAAGTGCCAATTTTTTAATTTGTTTATAACTATCGCATTTATTGTTAAAATTTTATAAAACCTATGACAAGTTGAGGGTTTTGTCATACTTTAAATGTGTGCCAAAAGTGGGTGCTGTAGGTGCAATAGTTTTCGCACAATTCAATTTGTTTATAACGGAGGCTCCAAAAGTTATGAACTTTAAGCCTCTGTACAGGCGTTAATTTTCAACCAAACAACTTTACAATAATATCGCGGATAGGAATTTTTTCGAGTTTCTCTTCTATTTTCGCTAATTTTCCTGGTGTCGATTGAGCCAAATATGTCTTATGTTGATGTTGTTGGTTTCAAAGAAACGGCGTGCAATTTTTTAATTTTATCTTGAAATTTTTCAATAATTTTGAAGTCGGAGTATGAATTAAAAAAATTGACACTATTATGTTTTTTGACATGATAAATGATAATTTTTAACTAATTTTGGCGTTGCTTTTATAGGACGTCAGTTATGCCATATTCCTTTGATAAATAGGGGATTTTTTTTGCCTTTAGAATTAGGGACATTGTGTATTGAAAATATGAAAGAACGACCTTCGTTTTATAAAAAAGTTACTCTTATTTGTTTTCGATATATCCCTTGGTTAAAAAATAAAAATTTCAATGCATTTCGTTTTTAAGCAACTTTTAATCCTTAAATTAAACTAATGCGACAACTAGTGTATGAACCAAATTATTTACAGTTTTCTAAAAAAAACAATTTAAAGGGAAAAAACATAAACCGCTTAAAGAGAAAATAACAAAAAAAAACAGAAAAAGATGGAAATTTAAGAAATATCTACATAGGACTAGAAATTACTGATTACATAAAAATTCTTCATTAGTTTAATTTAAGGATTAAAAGTTGCTTAAAAACGAAATGCATTGAAATGTGTATATGGAAATATCCCGATAACCAAGGGAGATATCAAAAACGAGCAAAAGTACCTTTTTTCATTAAACGAAGGACAATCGTTCATATTTTCATATGTCCGTAATTCTAATGGCAACAATTTTTTTTCCCAATTTATCAAAGGAATAGGACATAACCGACGTCATATACAAGCTACGTCAAAATTAGTTAAAAATTCTTATTTGTCATGTCAAAAAACATAATAGTGCCAATTTTTTTGTTCATACTCTGACCGTTTTCAAAATTATTGAAATATTTCAAAATAAACTTCAAACATTAAACGCTCTATGTATTTGGACAAAAAATGTTCACCAACAACTACCTCCTTCAAAAACTTTTTTCTAATACACCAAAGTGGTATGATTATGAAGTATCTACTGCTCTAAGTGCATAACTTGTTTCAATTTTGTTATATTTTAGAGGAAATAATTTGACTTCCACATATAAATTTTTAGTTATATCCTTTTTTATATGATATGACTGTTATAATTGAAATTTAAATACCCGCTAATCTTTACTGCAGTTAAAAGTTAGATGTGTTGATAGGATATTAAATTAAAACAAGGATAACAAAAAAAGTACCTAGTATAAACATTTTTGGAAGGCATGGACGTCCTCTCTTAAATTCGTTTTATTTATTTTTTTAATTTAAAATATATTTTCGTTTAACTTTCCTGTTATTCCATGTTAAAAAATTAAAAGTAAATCAGTTTATTGCTAAAAATTAAAAATATTTCTAGTTATTGCTTGTGGTTGATTTGTCATAATTCGAATTCCTCTATTCCTCGAAAATCATACACAAAATTTGGTCATAGATTATTAAGACAAATTTAGGGGACCTGTATTTTTTCTTTTTGCGAACTGGCCCCCTCTTTCGGAGTTACAGCCCCCTGAAATCTAGTTCAGAAGTTTTTTATATCTCAAAACCATGTACGACAATTACTAAATTTGGTACACAGGGGTTTTATGACATATGGAATCTCACAGTACTACGCTTTTTGGCGAGAAACCCCCTTAAGACACTTTTTCGTGGGCCTCTTGTCTTTGGAACCAGAAAAATTTGGTCGCAATTTTTTTTTAATTATTAGTTAGCTAGTAAGCCATTGAATTTAGAAACTTTTCTGTCTCTTGATATTTGTTTCGTAAAACGCAATGTTTTTGAGGAAAATGGCGAATCACGATATGCAGTCGATCACATTGTGACATTTTTCTCGACAACATTGCCTTTTACGAAAAAAGTATAAAGAGACAAAAAGTTTCTAAATTTAATGGCTTTCTAGTGGACTGATAATTTTTAAGAAATTTAAATATGCGACCAAATTTTTTTGGCTCTAAAGACAAGGGGGCCCACGAAAAATTGTCTTAAGGGGGTTTCCCGCCAAAAAACACCATCAGATTCCACATGTCATAAAACCCCTGTGTACCAAATTTAGTGATTCTCGTACCACAGGGTTCTGAGATATATAAAAAAGATTATTCTTAGGGGCGGACTTCAGGGGGCTGTAACTCCGAAAGCGGGGGCCACTTGGCAAAAATAAAAAATACGGGTCCCCTAAATTTGTCCTAAGAATCTGTGACCAAATTTTGTTGCATGAATTTCGGGACACCCTGTATTTCCACTTATTTTCCCGTATCATTCTCACATATTTCTTGTTATTTTGCATATTCTCTTTCTCTCTCAGTGTTTCCTATTTTCGATGTCATGCTACAGTGGCGTATCTATTTAACTCTATCAATTTTCGACCTACAGATCAAAGAAATATTTTTTTAATGGAAACAAATATCTTAATTAAAAATAAGTTACTCTGCGTTTGTCACACATTTCTTCAGAAACTGCTAAAGATATAAAGACACGTTTTTCAAGTGTACAGGGTTATATACTTTTTTGAGTCATTTCAGTTACCTCTGTATGTCTATTGCAAATGTCACATTTGTTTTTGAATGATTTGAAATGAGAAAATTCTTAAAACTTTTCGGATTGAAATTTAAAACCGTTGGAAGTAATGTTATCTTGAAAGACATGCCACTTCCTCCAAAATTATGAGAACAGATTCATAGAAAAAACATTTGACTTACATAATCTCTTCTTCGGTCTGCCTTCCACAACATTTCTGTTTTTGGTGAGTAAGTCCTCCGCCTCGAACACTTCGTTCTTGTACATTTTCGATCTGTTTACACTCTCCTCCACGCGCAACACTCGGTATTAAATCACATGCGTGTGTAATGCGTGCCTTATACAAGTAGGTATCCTCTTAATATTGTACCGCGTTAGTAAAAACATTCGTGTGACACTGGATTCAACCTCACTCCCTAACTTCCGTTCGAACAACTTCGGATTCTAGGGTTAGCGTTAGCCTTAGCGAAAACAGAGATAAGAAGATAAAATGCCTGACCGCCTGGTTCGTTCGTCGCGTGAAATTCTGTACTGCTAAGCGGGAACGGATGGAAGAAGGCGATTCCCCGTGGTGTATAAATATACGGTGGACTTTGTGTGAGTGAGCATTACAGTCATGTTTCGATAGATTGTGCGAAGGATTCGAATTCGCTTTTTACGCGTCGTCCCCGCCCTCGTTCGTGATCGATAATCGCGCGTGCACGACGGACTTGTCAGTCATAAGATGGATATTTATAATAATCTGTGTTTTTAGCTGGCAAATAAAAACCATTCATAGTTCGAGCTTATTAGAGAAAAATGTTTGTGGTTCACTAAATATCAATTTTCATAAATATAAATACTTTGCTAGAAGTGAGGTGCTAAAGGTGCTTGCAGACAAGCGTGCACATATGCACGTAACTTAATTTTTTAAGGCATTTCTTAGAAATCTACGATTTGTTTAATTTGTTTGCAATTGTTAGAAATATATTCTATTTAAATCGATAGAACAGGTTAAAATAATGTTCATTAATGATATAAACTTATTTCCTAAATCGCACGGTTTCGGAGATAGAGGGCGTTGAAGTAGGAATTTTTTCCATTTTTTTCCTCATAACTTTTGAACCACTCATCCGATTGAAGCGAAATTCGGAACACAAACACTTCTTATGATCTTAAATAAGTTACCCCCCTCTTAAAACTTTCAAAACTTAAAAAAAATTAATTAATTTAAATGAAATAACTGCACACCACTTTTTCGTCTCTTGTTTTTTTTTTTCGATATTTGGCCTTGTTTCTGTGATATTCAATGAAGTTCGTGGCAGTAGCACACTAAATACACTTCTAAGAGGAGTAGGTGGTTCTAACTTAAGGAGCCAAAGATGGCTCCTAAGTTCTTAATATGCTCAGATCTAACCAGTACCTGATCACCTAGGCTGTAATTAAACTCAGTAGAACTAGTTTTACGGGAGAAAGACATTATATTGCACTTCGAAACGTTTAAAGGGAGCCGATTATTATCGCACCAAATGATGACCAAATTCAAGTTGTGCTGAAGTTGACTACAGTCAGATACAGAGTAGACGTTGGTATAAATTTTCAAATCGTCTGCATACATTAAATGGTCCTAGTATTGACCCTTGAGGAACGCCTGATGTTTGACTAAATATATCTGATTTGACTTGTAACCACGATATTGCACAAACTGAACACGATGTGATAAATAAGATTTAAACATAAGTAAAAGATAATTATTGATACCAAAATTGTGTAGTTTACGGATATACCATTTTTTCGAGATTTAAAAAAAATTGAAGGTAATGGAGCAATTCTGCTCCGAATTCGGATTCAGTGCGTCAAAATACATAAGGATATATGTGTCTAATCTTCGGAACAGACCACATTTCTTTTTTTTTTTGTGGGACTGTGTTACCTACCTTTTTTCGATGTTTTAATTAAAAATACTAATGAGGAACATGAAGCAAATGTATATAGCCGACAAATACTATTTTAGTTTTAATTTATAATCATATTAAAAAGAATTGATAATAGATTAATATTAGTTAACAGTTTTCCAAATCAGTAATACATTTTATTTATGAAAATGAGAGACGAAATTCTAAAGACTGCATTTATAATATACCTACCCTCTGAATGTAGTTAGAACATGTGAGAACGTGCATTGAAGCTATTTTAGAAAGAAAGAATTTGAAAACCCGAAAATTTGTTAGTTCATATTACGTGAAATAACCCGAAAATATTACTAAAAGAGTCGCGTTTATTTTTCTAAATGGTGATAGATGCGTTTCAAGTAATTCCTTAAATTTTGATAGTTGTTAGTCGAATCTTCCTAACAACGAAGTAAGTAATAACAGAATAAATATTACATGATAAAATTAAATCTCTATGGATGGTAGATAAACAAAGCAAAAAAATGTCACATTTAACTTTAAGCCGATTTGATAACAAAAGTTTTGATAACAAAAACGGAAAGTTATTCGAAACGTAAACTGTGTAACATCAGTGATTATTGTGCAGTAGTGAGGAATTATCTATTTTCTCAGTGTGAGATATTTCTGGATATGTAAAATTAAATTAATAAAATCTACACCTTGACCGATCCATTTGGCGATAGGGATTATTTACTTAATTTCTTTTCAGTGTGGCGGAAATACCGAGTAAAATAAAAAGTGTAATTAAGTTTGGTACACACATTATTGGTGCTCCTAATCATTTTATTCATTATTTTATTTATTTAATTTTAATTAATGATTTTTTTCAGCAGGTATTACCAAATAATTTCATCTGTACAAAATCCAGTCATTTTATTACACATAGTTTCCGAACATCCTACATCGATTACAAAGTTATATAAATATTTTTGTCACTAAAAATATTTAATTTAAAAATATTCTATGAATAATTACCGTGCAAAAAATTTTTAGGTATTTTAAAAGTATTTTAAATTATAGAAAATCATTAAGGTAGAACATCAACCAGAGAGACGGGTAATGTCGATTAAATAATTTTTATTAGTATTTCTATTTCGAATTATCTATAGCTAATTATCAAAAATATACCCACGACATATAGGTAATAGTAGAATTTTATTGAGATTATTTGTTAACAGAATAGCGTCTGCAAATGGAGATTTTATCCTACTTTTTAATTTGTCAGTTCATTTCCTTTCATCAGTTTCCATATGTTTAATCGAAATCTAACAAATTAGTATTCTTCCTATAGTTTTTAAATAAAACAACTATTTTAAAATGAAAAACAGCCCCTTCTATAATAAATAGTACCTACTTTTGATTTAATTAGAAAAATTTACTCAACTGAATACAAACTGCACAAAATATGAAATTTTATAATATTATGTACTTCCAAAAGAGAGTTATCTCAACTGCTTAACATATGTTAAAAAATTCAAAATATTGCAAAATTGAGACGAAGAAATACAAGATCTAGCATTTAGTCTATACGGACGCGATATTGCAATCAATATTGTGGTTAACGATTTTGTTTAAGAACGTTATAGAGGAGATATTTTTTTCTAAGGTTAGATACGTTAGATCTACCAGACATAAAGCCAAGCTGCACTGAGACTGCCAAGCTTTTTATGTAAAAGCAAAAGCAATATGTTCGCAAAAAATAATTTTAAACTGTTTGAAATAAAAGACCTTATCCAAGTTTACACGATTTAAAATGGATGGTATGACGATTCTTTTAATTTCCTCAACATCAGTCGAAAATAAATATCTGTGCGTATAAATAATATACATATCTACTAGATATCAATTGATCAAACAATTAGTCACACTGGCATTGTAAACATTTCGCTTGTTAACCGCGTTTTATCTTCAAAGTATATTGATTGTAATTTCATTAAAAGCCGTAGCCGATATAAAAACATTACGCCATTGATAACGAAATCGTGTTAAATTGATTATACTGCTAACCTGTCTTTAAAACAGCTTTTATAAATGGGTACATGCGTGGATTAAAATGTCGCTCCACTTTCCAATCTTAGCTACGAACTCATCTCCAGCCCATCTAGTCACTGCCAACCCAAGCAAAAGTAGTTACCAGTATTCGAGGGAACCTCGACACTTCACTTGAAGGAGAAGAAACTCTACCAAGATTATAGCCGCCTCCAATAACTAAAACTACAGCAGATGACATCGACAGAGGCCGATGCCTACGACGCGAATTGTGCAAAAGAAGCACCTCAATTCTGAACATAAAAATATAGACTGAGGTAGAACAACACCAATACAAATTACCATATCCAATTACAGGTCAATAACCCATACAGGTCGAGCAGATTCCAAAGTCTGGAGAAGAGAAATGTTCAAATTAAAGACGGGGGACGATTCAGGACCTGTGCGGAGATATCATAAGAGGTGTTCGAACGTCAACTCTGGTACGTTACAACTCGGTACGATTAATACGCTCCAAATTTTCTAATTGCATTATACACAAATATACATCAAATACAATACACTTTGCTTATTTATTCTTAATAGCACATTTTCAATAAATCTAAATTTTTTTCGATTTCAAAACATTGCCAAAAATTTCTGATCTTTCTGAGCCTCCAGAGAAAATCCCCACGAACATAGCAAATTTCAAGTAGCTCCCAAACAATTACTTTAAGGAGACCTCAAAAAATTAAACCCCTAATAACTTCCAACTCTCAAGAGATCTCAAAGTTCCTATCATTATCATAATAGTGTTTGGATTTATTGTCGCAAATACATGAATTTAATCGAAAAATATTTAAAAATTCCCTCCAAAATTCCCTATTGGCTTTCATTATAATACTAACATTACATATTATATCAACTCCAATCCATACATGTTTAAACTTGCAAAAGGCTCGTCGCCATTGCTTGCAACTAGCGCAAATCATTCGATTTCGTATTACTCTGCAAGTTGAGTCTTGGAAATTATAAGTTCATGTTTATTTCAATGTGTATAGACCATTCGTAATTAAATCATTTTCATATAGGTATATCTCATTAAAATCACAAAATGTTATCTGGATATCACTCATATGTGAAAAAAATTAAGAGACTAATTAACTACACTGTCATCAAAAGAATCAGTGTTTAATTAATTTTTCGTATGGGTAAAATACCCAACAAAAAAAGCTAAAAAATATACAGCAAATAAAAAACTTCAAACATTGCCACAAAAATATAATTTTATCATGTGCTTGCAGTTGATTTTAAGTATTTAAATTCGTCGTAAGAGGAATGTTTCGACCTTGTAAGAGATATCGCTTACATTTTTTTGTTTATAATGTCGCTCATAGAAGTACGACTATCGATAATATGGGCCTTATGGTTACCATCTGGACAACCTTAACCTTCTGCCAAAATGACACCAAATGTATGTAATATACCCATAGAATGAATATATTGGATAGTTGTTATACCCCACAGAATAACAGATAACGGTTTTTGATGTTAAAAGTGTGAATAAAAGATTTGAAGATATACTCCACAAATTAATCTCTATAGGTTTTAAAATTTCCGAAAATCATCAAGATTATGCAATATTAGAAGTTTTAGATATACGATTTCTCGACAGTTAGCTTTAAGCAAAAAACAAAAAAAATCCAATAAATCTTTTCT